GGGCACATACATGGTAAAAGATTGGCAAGAGAGAAGTCAACAAGCGGAAGAACGAAACAAGAGATAAGCTGAGGAGGCAAATAGACAAGCCATGCATGACACATCAGCATTCCAGGGAACGGAAAGCACTTCGGATCAGACGCATCAGCCAAAAAGACCATATTTCAGTCTGCCAAGAACTGGTTTTAAGAAACCAAGGAGAACAAGCATGTTCGATATATTTAGGGATGAGAGATGAGCATGCGAAATGATGTGTGGTGTCTTAACTAGCAGCACTATCTTTTACTTTGCTTTCATGCATTTATGATATGGTCGTGTCATGAACCTCTAGTTTACATACTGTTGTCTTTGGTGTGCAAACTGTTGTCTTTTGTGTCATGTATGCAAAACATGTATGATATGTTGAAGAACATGTTGTGTTCTGTTTTTTCCTGTGTATTTTGTGTCATTTCTGCTAGGCGAGTGAACTGATGTTAAATTGGTGCACAGTATGTATTCAACTACTGAACTGGAGTTAAATTGGTACAGATCACATACTGAAATGGTCTGTGTTGTCCTTCTCAGGCACGCCATTTTATTATAGTAGTCAATAAAACAAATCTGAATTATACATGGTCCAAATTCAAAGGATTGCTCAAAGCAATTGTTTTGTGTGTGTAAACTTGGACACACTGATTGTTTATGTTCTTCTGATAGATCAGCCAACTGATCAGCTGTGAATTGCCAGTTAAAACGAGTGCTGCAAAAGATCGTTTACAATTGAACTACCAGCATACAGAAGCTGCAAAAGATCGTTCATAAGCTATAAAAGTTCATCCAGAACCTGCCAGATAGAATAAAAATGCATACCATTCAGAACATCTTACATTGCATAGCATTCTGGCACAAGGTAACATCACATTGTATGACATCTCAGTTCATCAGCAGAACATAGCAAATAAACTGACAATTTCCAATGTCAAAGGATCAACTACTGAACTCCAGTGCCACAGCAAACCATCTTCTTCAGTACACATCAGAGCCGCCGGCGTCGCCGACTCGCCGAAAGCACAAAAGCCTGCTGTGGAGAGCCTCCAGCACGTCCATCCCTGGAGTGCACGAGGATCACACGCGTGGTCTCCGAGCTCCGGCGCCGTGCTTGTGTCTGTGCCTGAGGCGCACAACCTCGAGCCACCGGCGTCGTGCGTGCGTGCGGTGCACAACGTCCAGCCGCTGCTCCGAGCCGCCGGCGTCGTGCGTGCGTGCGGCGCACATCGTCCAGCCGCTGCTCCCAACCACCAGCGTTGTGCGTGCGTGCGGCCCGCAGCCTCGCCCTGCTCGACCGGCGCGGTGCGTGCGGCGCACAACCACGCCGCGACCGTGGAGAGACCCACGCTGCCACCGGCGTCGGAGAGGATTTGGGATTAAGGGTTAGGGATTTTCGGGTTGGAGGGGAAATTTGACTTTCCCGAGCAGCCACGATCTGATTTAAGCGGTCCGGCTGGACCCGCTCGCGAGGATGACGTGGCACCCGTCTCTGCGCCTAGCGTATGCTGAAACGTATGCAGGACCGTATGTGTAGCATAATGGCAAGTATGAGGACCGTTTTGGAGCGATCCACAAGTCGCGGGACTGTTTTGGAGATTAATTTGCCACGGCTTCATCCCAGCACTTGGGGCACGTGATATACTTTGTGATATGCAATTCACAGACAAGGATCGTGCCACAATCATTACTATCATGTGGGCTATCTGGGTGTCTCACAACAGAAGGACTCATGATCAGGAGATCATTGATCCAGCTACCTCGGTTCGGCGTATTCGTGAGGACCTGGCATTGCTGGACATTCCCCGACAGAGCTTCATACCGCTGCCGGGTCATGGTTGGCGGCCCCTGAAGGAAACCTTGTAAAGATCAACACTCAACACTGATGTTGCAATACACCGCGATGCTAGCAATGCCGACATGGGGGGAGTAGCCCGCTCTTCCTCGACATTCCTGGGCGCATGGTGCAAACCCCATCTTGGGGTCACGGATCCTTTCATTACTGAAGTGCTCTCCTTACGCGCAGGCGTCATCTTCGCGAAGCTTCGAGGCTACACGCACGTGCGACTGGAATCCGACTGTCTGGCAAGTATGAGGACCGTTTTGGAGCGATCCACAAGTCACGGGATTGTTTTGGAGCAGGCCGACGAGTTCCAGGACCGTGCGTGTAATTTACTCCCAATAGGATGTATGGGTATTCAAGTTACATGAAAAAGTGATGTGAATAACCATTTAAAGTCCCTCTTGCTTTTGCAATGTTGAGAGTTACAGCAAAACAGTGCGGTCTCAAGAACATTACGGTGAGCCAACAGTCAGATAAACCAGAAGTCAAGGCGGTTGGGCACAATCGGTTTTATAATAACGTGGTTTATTCATCGATTAACTACGAATGTCCGATCCTTACAGCAGACACTATCACCCTTGAGTTGATCGAGAACATGGGCTGGGCATTCGAACAAAAAGGCAGCGCGCAACAGTCCGTGAAAGTGAAACCAGAGGAGATGAGCAGAGAAGAAGGCTTACATGAGAAAGGCAAGCACAGCTATGGTTCCTGCCAGCCATGCCTTGAAATTGCAGTAGCACTCTAGGGCAATTCATTGCTCTGCGTAAATCACCGCCACTTGTTCAAAAAAAAAAAAAAAAAATCACCGCCAACCAATCACATCATATATACATGCAGCTAAACCCAGACAAATTAAAGAAAACAGCCGTCGGTTTTGGCAGCAACAGGTCAAGTCCGCAGCATGTGTGTGTGCAGCAACTAAGCCTAGTAACATGCATATAACGAGTGAATCTATCTATGCACAGTAGAGACACCCGGATGTACTGTGCGGGTTCATAAGATACGACGCCGACATTGATATGCCATTCTCTGCAAATACTGGCACGAGGCCAGGTCTCATCATTAACCATCCTTTTCCTTCAATATGAACTGAAACACTTCAAAATTGTTATTGTGTATAACATGACTGAATTAATTGAAACATACGTGCAATTAACTAGTTTAGACTGTAAAGTATGAAATACAATTCCTGCAATCAAATAATACGAACTTGGCGCAGGTAACTATCAAGGTCCTGTCGAACAGTAGGTATGTCGCTCCTCCATGCAAAGCTAAGTTGAGCTTCTGACGAAGCTTTGCCACCTTTCAGTATTAAACTTTTCATGGTGTTGATACGCTCATCCCTCAATTTACTACCGTGCAATATTTGCATGGCCCTCAGAGCTTTTGCTCCAGCCATAAGGAAACTTGCAAATTGCACCTCCCCTATAGTTCCATAATACCCATGAAGTTCCACATATTTGAGATGCTCGTTTAGGCAGATAATTGTATCAGCTGCTGGTTGCCACTGTCCAAACGCATGTTTATCCGTCCATTCAAAGGCGAGGCACTGTGACCATTAAGACAAATGATCAATTAAGCTATTCTAAAATCTAATAAAAAAATGAGGTAAAAATTTATATGCTACAATGAACCAACTAACAGTAATAAGTAGAAAACATTCATATTCTAGATGCCAGTTTAACTTAGGTAACCAGCTAAAAATTTGGAACGGCATGACATTACAGCTGTAAAGCCTTAGAACCATATATTTTTTGTCCTATAAACAAGGTAACTCCAAAATCAACAATTACCCAGCCAAAAATCAGTCAGTGGAACAACCCTTGTAACAGATTTTCAGTTCGCACTAAAGCACTCTTTAATTTACTCCCTCCTTCCCAAAACTATAGGAGCCTAAGCTTTTCCAGAAAATCCCAAGATGTAAGGCGTGTTACTACCTCCATCCGGGTTTATTAGCTAGGCCCCCTTGTATTTTGGTTCGAACTTTGACCATCAACAAAACTAACAAAATAATTATATATGATACAAAAAGCATATTGTTGGTTTTGTATTTGCTAGCTCTTAGCCCACACTAGTTTCTCTCTTACGACTAGTCGGAAATGATCACTAATCATGGGTTCCAGTTAGAACTAGCGCTTGGTGCGCTAGATGGACCTGGCCATCTACTGTTTTCATGGATCAGTCAACCACGTCTGGTAGGATATCATGGAGGAATCGTTAATAACCATGCGCCTGAGTAACAACCAGCCATGCTCTAATTTCCGTGCCAAAATCTTACACGCCTTAGATAATGGGAAAGGAGTAATATTTCAAGAAAATAGCACATTTGTGGCGAACAATCCTGGTAAAAAAACAATTTGTAATCTTAACTCTCTAACTAATAATAAAGCGGCTATTGCTTCTGGCGGTACGTCATCGAAATTGACCCAAAAGTTGCAATATATTACCCACCAATGTCACTTATAAGTGATAAAAAATGTTTCACACAGGGAATCCCTGCATGGGCCGGTCCATGTCTGAGCAGCCTGTTATTTAATTTTTTTGTCGTTTTCCTTTTTCGTCTTTCTTCTTTCTACTTTAAATAATTTCGGACTTTAAAAAGTTCCAAAAATGAAAAGAAATGTGAATTTAGAATAAATGTTTTGTCAATTCAGAAGATGTTTGGGAATTTTTTTTTAAAATTGCATATTCAAAAAAATGTTCGCAATTTTGGAAAAAAATGTTCATGATTTTTTTTAAGTTCACGTATTAAAAAATATTAATGAAATTGAACAAAATTTTGAATTTCAAAAAATGTTCACGAATTGAAAAATATCCTAAAAATTAACAAACTGTTCATGACTTGCAAAATAGTTTATTGATTCAAAAAATGTTCGATAAATCAAAAAAATGTTTGTGAATTACAAAAATTGTTCCACTAACTTCCAAAATAATGTTCATTGATTCTAGAAATGTTCGCCCCTTCAAGAAAAATGTTCATAATTTTTTTCTATTTTGCAAATAGTATAAAATGTTCATGAATTCAAAAAATGTTCATGATTCTGTAAAAATGTTCAAGAATTTGAACAATTCTCACAATTTCAGATATGTTCACGAGTTTAAAAAAAATGTTCAGGATTTTCAAAATTGTTCGCAATTTCGCAAAAATGAGAGTGATAGTGTATCTCAGTGATGTAGCGAAATGTGGTCATGGCCATTGAAGATTATAACTTTTTTTCTCCCATCGCAAAGCACGCTAAGAAAATACGAATTTGTAAAAAAATAAACGGTTATGTTTGTCCGTTTATGGTCATAGCAAAACTGATAAGGTTAAGTAGTTTCAACAGACCACTTGTGCACTGAATTTTCTTTCCAAAAATATCAGAAAAATGGATTTTAAAAAAAGAAAGGAAGTGAACACAGGAATGTAATGTGTGTGAAAGATAAAGGAAGGAAAAATCCTATCGCGAGCTTGTGCACCATGCATATTAAGTTTACCTAGCATTTTAAGACATATTTGAGCTAAACTCTGATGCCGTACTTGCCAACTAATATTAGTAAGGGGCCCCTCTAAAACTTGCCTACAGCAATCAAATGATCAGATCTACAGTTAGTTCTCCAAACTTAGAATGAAAACAAAATATCTAGTGGTGATTTCAGTAAACCTAGATACCGATTATGGAGCAGTATACTTTGCCCAGATAGAAAATAGATTTTCGAGACAAACATGCAAATAAATGAAAACAAAATGTCTAGTGGTGATTTAAGGAAAACTTAATATGTTGGTAAATACACAGAGAGAATTTGGCAAATGATTTAAGCCAGGCTCTTTTAGTCTAGAAAAATAGACGCCGAAACTTGAGAAGGGCATTGCATACCCAAATCTGAAGAACTTGCAAACAGGGGAACAAGCTTAACATGTTGGTAGCCTTCCTCAGTTCTTCACCATCACTAAATTTCATGTTGAGGATCAGTGTTGTAATGATGGATACTGACATCTGCATAAAAAAAAGAACACTTGCATGAAGTTTATATACACATGGAACCCCACAAATCAAAGCTAAGCATGTAGGTATCTATACCTTAGGCGTAATCACAAAGTTGGGCGAGTGCAGCATTGGAAGTGTGAGAGCAACCTTCCGGACCTTAGGAGGAAGGGCATCTTTTACAAAGATGTCGGGACATAGCCGCCATATGTCCGCATATAAGAGCACAATGCTTTCAAGATTAGGTGTTCCGCTGAAAGAGACCTTTTCAAGTGGGACGTGTGGCCTGATGTACACCTCGACGAGATTACGTGAGCAAGGGACGAGGCGGCGAAGGTTATGGACTCTGAAGAGCTGTAGCTTCCGCAGGGCTAGACAGCCGGCGATCATAGAGTGCAACGATGTCTCGGGAATCACCACATTGGACAAGTGTAGATAATGCAGGCTATGCAAAGGCAGGGTTACTCCAAGTTGAGGGTCAAGGCAACAGCAATGCAATTCCAAATGTCGGAGAACATTAGCACTGAACCTTAGGAGGTCGCGAGGGAGCGGCGGGTGCGCGGCATGCGGCACGAACTTGAGCACGAGGCTGTCGTTGATGCGCTGGTTGGATAGGATTTGCAGCCAGCTGGAGGTGGCCTTGTGCGCGGAGATGGTGGCGTGGAAGCGGTGGATAGGCCCATCGCTGTGGGAGGAAAGGATGCGCAAGATTGACTGGCCGTCAGAGCCAAGATTCCTATTGCTGCCGTCAAGGTCTAGGTCGAGCGGCACCGACGGCCAGATGCGTCGCCAGCGGCGGGAGAGAACCATGGTGCAGGCTGCGTTCTTGACAGGGAGGAGGGAGACGATGTTGCCCAGCAGGCAGTCAGGGAGAAGGCTAATGCGGTCACCCTCCTCTGCCTCCATCGTCGTTGGCCCCAAAGGGGTTGGGGTGTCAGGCAGGGGAACAAAACAGATCTAATTCTGCCTTGGATCGTTGTGGACGCGGTTCGATCTTGATGAAACGGTGAAAATCCAAGAAATCGAACAAAGGCTGACTGCCTTTTTATTACTGCTATATACAGTATAATATAGTCCGGCTACTGCTCCAATCCTGGAATACTTCGGATTAGAAACCGTATCCGCTCCGTCCACCGCTACATATCATTCTTGGAAGTGATAGCTCATACCAATTAAAAGACACGGATCCAACTCCAGGGAGGGCATCCGCAGCAGCAGCCACCTCAACGCCTCCGCTACTCCGCCGATGCAATCACTGGAACACCAGATCCGCCGCCTCCGTCGTCGGAGACGCGGCTTCGGCTTCGGCTTCGGCTTCAGGTCAGAAGCCGCCGCCGATACGTCTCCGTGTAGATCTAAAGACAGAGTGTGGGTTGGGGGATGCGACCTCGAAAAGGCCGGCCAAGTGAAGGTGGTGACGAAAGGGGCGCAGAGGTGGGGGAGCGGCGGAGGAGTCGGGTTAGATCTCCTTGCCTTAGAGCATCTCCAACAGCCGCGCTATGCGTCGCGCGCAAAAAACCTGTTTGCCGCGCGCGCTTCGACTGGTTTGGCACGCCCGCCTGCGCTGGCTTCAGCAGCCGCGCTATAATGCAGCGCGCGCGCCGCTCCAGTAGAGCGCAAAAATACAGCGCGCGCCGCACAAACCACATATACATAGCAAAAATGATCAAACAAACAAAATAAATCAACAATAAATAGTTCAATTTCGTTATCATTACAACTCAAACAAATAGTTTATCATTCAGTACAACAAATGCAATAAACACAACAAATAGTTCATGAACAATACAATGTCGAATGCAGATATCATCATGCTCTTTGTCGTCCATGCCATGCCCACCACTCTTCAATCAAATCATTCTGAAGTTCATTGTACGTTGATTGACGCCGAATGGCATGATAGCAGGCAATAAAACGGGCTACCCTTTCAGCCTTCCGTCGCACTCGCACGGGATTTCACAAAAGCTCATACTGTAAGTAGTCTAAATCTTGGCCACGCTCATTCTCAATGATCATGTTGTGCATGATCACACAAGCGTGCATGATGTACCAAAGCATTTTTTGATCCCAAAATCTAGCCGATCCTCTCACAATAGCAAATTGGGCTTGCAAAATCCCAAATGCTCTCTCCACATCTTTTCTAGCCGCCGCATGAGCATTGTGGAAGTCAAGATATTTCTTACCTTCCGGCTTTTTCAACGGCTTCACGAAGGTTTGCCACTTTGGATAGATGTCATCCACTAGATAATAGCTATAGTTGTACGTACGGTCATTTGCTACAAACTGCACCGGTGGCAACTCACCGTTTGCAATCTTATTCATCAGTGGTGACCGGTTGACAACATTGATGTCATTCAAAGATCCAGGCATTCCAAAGAATGCATGCCAAATCCAAGTCTCCTGATCGGCCACCGCTTCAAGGATTATAGTGGAACCTTTTTTTTGGCCGTGGAATTGCCCATGCCATGCCTTTAGACAATTCTTCCAACTCCAATGCATGCAATCTATTGAGCCAAGCATGCCAGGAAAACCGCGAGCTTTGTTCATCGCCAATAGCCTTGCGACGTCTTCAGCATTGGGAGATCTCAAATACTCCTCGCCAAACAGTTGCACAATTCCCACTGCAAAGCGCTTGACACACATGATGACTTGGCTCTCACCCATAGCCAAGTGATCATCAACAAGATCAGCCGGTATACCGTATGCCAACATACGCAAAGCGGCTGTCACTTTCTGAAAGGTGCTATGCCCAAGCTCTCCGGCGGCATTCCTCCTTTGTTGAAAAAAACGGTCATGGCTCGCTAGTTTCTCTGCAATGCGCCTGAACAACTCTGTGCTCATCCTAAACCGGCGACGAAAATATGACTCGGGGTATATGGGATTCTCCGCAAAATAATGTCTGATCAATCTGTTGTGGGCATCGATCCTGTCCCTCCAAATTTTCTGCCGACCCATAACCGAACCACCGTGCTTCAGTTTTTTTTATATGCATAGCTAGGATCATTGCAAGATCTTCTTCCTCTTCAATATCAAATTCTTCTTCGGAAGAATCATACGACGAACTCATCTACAATGTTCAATACTATACTATAAAAACTACAATTCAAAACATGCATCAAATTCATGAAGTTTGAGCAATACATACCTTGTAGGCGTTTTGTCAAACACCTTGCGGACGCGGCGCGGCAGCGAGCGCTCGGGCGCAGTTCCTCGGACGATGGAGGCGCGCGAGGGCCGGCGGGACTAGGAGGGGAAGGGGCGGAAGCGCGGGCGCGCGGGGATAGGCCGGGGAAGCCTGAACGGTCGCCGGGGGCGCGGGCGGCGGCGGCGGCGCGACCGGACGGGGGATGGAAGTGGGAGAGGAAGTGCGGGCGCGAGCGCTGGAGTGTGCCGCGCGCTGCAGCTGGCGCCCCAAATACACCGCGCGGCTAAGTGTTTTTGTCCGCGCGCTCAATCCGTTACAGCGCGCGCGTCGTTTTTGCGCGCCCGCTGGAGCGACCCGCCACGTTGCGCGCGCGCTAAAACGGCCTATTTTGCGGCGCGGCGCTAGTTTAGCGCGGCTGTTGGAGATGCTCTTATGTCTCGGCGGTTATTTGAGGATTTTGGGCGTGAATGCCTCACGGCGCACGCGCGAGGTAGAGTAAATTACACGCACGGTCCAGGAACTTGTCGGCCTGCTACAAAACAGTCTCGCGACTTGTGGATCGCTCTAAAATGGTGCTCATACTTGCCATTACGCTACACATACGGTTCAGCATAGGCTGGACGCAGAGACGGGTGCCACGTCATCCTCGCGAGCGGGTCCAGCCGGACCGCTTAAATCAGATCATGGCCGCTCGGAATAGTCAAATTTCCCCTCCAACCCGAAAATCTCTAGCCCTTAATCCCAAATCCTCTCCGACGCGTTGGGGAAGTACCTCCGGGTGAAGGTAAAACTTGATATCAATGAGTTTCTGGACGTGGATGTTGGGCATGATGGAAAGGCGTTGGGGAAGTACCTCCGGGTGAAGGTAAAACTTGATATCAATGAGCCCCTCCCTAGGGGTTTTGTTCTGGATAGGGCGAGGGGACAGGAGGCGGGGAAGAATGGAGGAGTAGAGGAGCCTGATGAGAATAATAGCACGAAGAAGGAAAAGAAGGACTTACTATGGTGCCGCTTCGAATATGAACACATGCCCGATTTCTGCTATACCTGTGGGGTGATCGGACATGGTGAGAAGGAGTGCAACAAGAAGCCTAGTAGAGGAGATGCACCACAGTATGGTCCATGGATGAGGGCTGAGGAAAACAGCAGAAGAGGGGAGGATGGAGGAAGAGGGAGTTGGCATGGCCCCCGAGGTAGTGTGGACAGAAGGAGGATTGGTGGAGGGAGAGGGAGTCAAGGGTCGCAAGGATCAGGAGAGAGGAGGCAATATAGCTGGGGGAGGGGTTCTGACGGCTCGGGGAGTAATGCGGCCTCCTGGAAGAAAGAAATCACATGCTCAAAAAATACTGTTAAGGCCACAACAACTGAGGAGAAGGAGGTCACGAGTCCTCTGAAACTGACAGAGAAACCTGACACTGTGACAACAAACAAGGCTGCTAAAAGCCTCCAGTTCCACCCGGCTCCAAGTATGCTACCTGAAGGAGAACAGAGCACTATGGCAGTGGACCTACCAGCGAGCGCTAATCTCCGAGGGGCAATGCAACCTGAAGGTGGGAAGGATGGAGCCGAGGAGACGATCAGGACTGATGGTGTGAAGGGCAGCCCGAGGGAGGAGATGACAGATATGCATGCTGGTAAGGGAAAGGAGGGAAAGAGATTTAAAAGGAAATTGCGGCAGGAAGGAACGGGCTTGAACGATAACCTGAATGTCAAGCTGGGGAAGAGAGGAGGGGAAGATATGGACACATCTGAAAACAGCAACGGGAAGAGGGGCAGAATAGGAGATAGTTCTGACTGTATGGAGGAACATGGCAAAATAATAAAAGAGGCAGTAGCAGAAGTTCACTGTAAAACCAATAGCACATCGGCCGGGCTGCTTGAGCAGTCCTGCCGGGAGCAATGAAAATAGTAAGCTGGAACTGCCGGGGTCTCGGGAATGGCCCGGCAGTTCGTTCTCTTCTCGAGCTGGGAAGAGTGGAGGATCCCGATATTATGTTCCTGTGTGAGACTAGAATGAAGGAAAAGGAGCTAGGGAGGTTTAGGTGGCTGTTGGGGCTCGCCAACATGGTTGCGTGGAAGGATGAGGGGACTGGGAGAGGGGTGGCTTTATTTTGGCGTCGAGGAGTGGATGTGACTTTGAGATCATATGGAAGGCGGCATGTGGATGTGGATGTGCAGCAGGAGGGTGGCTTGGTTTGGCGACTGACGGGAGTGTATGGAGAATCAGCTATGGAGAGGAAGAAGGAGACTTGGAGGCTCTTGAAAATTCTGAAGCAACAACACCAGAATGGCAGACCGTGGCTTTGTCTGGGAGACTTCAATGAAATACTAACAAGTTATGAGAAGGTAGGAGGAGCGGACCGGCCGCAGCAATACCTGGACGGCTTCCGCGAGGCGCTGACTACCTGTGGACTCCAGGATATTGGATTTGAAGGTGACATGTACACGTGGAGGAATCATAGTAAAGAACTTCGCACGTATATATGTGAAAGGCTCGACCGTGCAACAGCAAATCATGAATGGTGTGACATGTTCCCAAATTATGTGGTAGTCAATGGTGAGCCTAGACACTCTGACCATCGGCCCATTGTCGTGCATGTGGAAGGCATGGACACGAAATGGAAGAGAGATGATCGCCTGTTCCGGTTTGAGGCTCGATGGCTGCAAGAGGATGGGTGCGAAGAGTTAATAAGATAAGCTTGGGAGAATAATTGCTCGGCAGGCGTTGGGGGAGTGACTGAAGGTCTAAGAGCAGTGGCTA